TTAAAAACTTTTGTATAGCAAAGGACTTTATCGACAAAGTGAAGAGACAACCTATAGCATGGGAGAAAATATTTTGGGACCACATATCACATAATGGTTTAATATGCAGAATATGTAAAGAACTACTAGTCAACAACATAAAACAAAAACTGAATCTGAAAATCAGAAAAGAATGTGACTGATTAGACATTTTACCAAAGACATACAATTAGCCAATAAACACATGGAAAGATGCTCAACATCATGAAGTGGTGGTGCATACTGTCAATTGATTCCAACTTATAGAGACCCTATATGACAGAGTAGAATTGTCCCATAGGGTTTCCTAGGCTGTAATCTTTAAGGGAACAGATTTAGGGAACACTTTAAGGGAACACTAGGTCTTTGGTCCTGCCTTGTGGGTTCGAAGTACTGACTTTTCAGTTAGCAGCTTAATGCTTAACCATTGCCACCAGGGCTCTTTATTAGTCATTATGGAAATTCAAATCAAAACCACCATAAGACACCACTTCATACATGCTAGTATAGCTGGACTAAAGAAGTCAGGTAACAACAAGTGTTGGTAAGGATGTTGAGAAATCAAAACCCTCATACATTGCTGGCAGGAATGTAAAATATTTCAGCTACTTGGAAAACAGTTTGGAAGATCCTCAAAAAGTTAAACATAGAATTACCTTATGACCCAGCAATTTCCCTTCTAGGTATATACCCAAAAGACTGGAAAGCTGGGACTCAAATAGACACTTAACAGCAATGTTCATCAACACATTATTGTGAATAATAACAGCATTATTCACAAAGCCCAAAGAAACAGCCCAAGCATCTATCAACAGATGAATGGGTTTTTAATATATACAAAGGAATATTATTCAGCCATAAAGAGAAATGAAATTCTGATACATGACATAACACAGATAAACTAAATGAAATAAGTCAGATACAGAAGGGCAAATATTGCATCCTCCCATTAATATGAAATACTTAAAACAGGCAAATGCATGGACACCAAAATTTGTTAGTGGTTTCCAGAGGCTGACGGGAGGGGAATTCTGAGTTTCTGTTAAGGATGATGAAAAAGTTTGGAAACAGATGGTGGTGATGGTTGCAGAACATGGAGAAAAGAATTAAGTTCAGTGAATTGTACATGTAAAAATGCCTGAAATGGGAAATGTTTTGTTACATATATTTTACCACAAGAAATTTAAAAGAGAGAGAGAGAGAGAGAAGAGGTTCAAGGACTCAAAAAAGAGGAAGAAGCAGGAAAAGTGCTACTGGTACTCAGACTCCGTGCACCTCTTTCTCCTGGTAAGTTCTCTTTTCCAGAATAAGTCATCTAAACAGAGGTCTTAAGCTGTTTTGTTCACATATGTTCTCAAACATTTTTGGATAATGCATATACATTTTCAAATTGATATTTAAATTTTCCTATTATAAGTTTTAATAGTTATAAAGAATGGAATTACCAGCATTCTGGAAAACTTGACATTAACTGAAAATAAAACTATAACCTCAGTATTTTAAACATCTCTGATAGGATAGAAATGCCACAGTGATGTGATACTCATAATATCTTAAAACCTATGAACAAGTTCTTTAATCATTGGAAATCTGATATAATTCCCTTCTGTCCTTGAATAAATGTTTTTCTTTTACTTACCTAACAGAATTATATCCCCATTTAATATAATTTTATGGTTTAAAATCTCTTTTATTTTTCACCTTATATTCCAAAGTTCAGTCTCAAAATTAGAAAGAAAAAAAAGACTAAGTGAAAAACTGTTATAAAAAAAAGAAAGAAAAAAAAACTCACTGCCTTCAAGTTGGATCCAACTCATAGTGACCACTCCTTGGGTTTCCGAGGCAGTATCACTACAGAAGTAGATTGCCAGATCTTCCTTCCGAGGAGTAGCTGGTGGGTTTGAACCACCAGCCTTCTGGTGAGCAGTCAAGTGTCTTAGGCACTATGCTACCAGAGCTTCATGATAGGACCACAAATACAACCCAAGGGTTTGACTTCAGGTTTTAGGATCTTCGATTCTTTTTCATCTATTGACACGCTGGTCAAGGGTTTGGCAAAGTTATTATATTTTTCTTTCAAGCCACATCTTACTTTGCATCACAGGATATGATGGCTGATTTAGAGAAGTATTTTTATGAATTGAATTGTGCCCCTGCTCCCTGTTAAATATGTTGGAATCCTAACCCATTTGGGAACAGGGTTTCTTTGTTATGTTAATAAGCCCTATCAGATCAGGCATAAACAGGGAGAAGATAGATGCCACTTGAAGATCACCAAAGAACCAAGGAATTCTGGGGCTAAAGAAGCTGAGACAAGGATTTTCCTCAAGATTAACAGAGGGGCTTCCCCTGGAGCCAATGAATGCAAAGCAACACAATGCCATGGAGTCGGACCACTGAACCCACACTGCCCCTCTAATGGGTACACGGTTTCTTTGCAGGGCAATGAATTGTTGTTACATGCCGTCCAGTCGACCCGACTCATAGCGACCCCTCCTTGGGTTTCTAAGGCAGTATCACTATGGAAGTAGATTGCCCAACCTTCCTTCCGAGGAGGGGCTGGTGGGTTTGAACTGCCAGGCGTCTGGTTAGCAGTCAAGTGTCTTAGGCACTATGTCACCAGAGCACCTCCCTCCCCTAGAGCCAGTGCCCTGAATTCAGATTTCTAGCTTCCTAAACTGTCTCTGGTGGCGTAGTGCCTAAGGCATTTGACTGCTAACCAGAAGGCTGGAGGTTCAAACCCATCAGCCACTCCTCAGAAGGAAGACTGGGCAATCTACTTCTGAAGAGATACCACCTTGGAAACCCAAGGAGGGGTTGCGACTCCATGGTAGTGAATTTGGTTTCGTTTCAAACTGTGAGAAAATAAATTTCTGTTCACTAAAGCCACCCATTTGTGGTATCTCTGTAACAGCAGTACTAAGAAAACTAAGGCAAGCATCTAAGGGCAAAGAAATATTTAAGAAAGCAAAAGGATGCCCTTAGTAGCATTTGTGGTTGAGAAAGAGTTTTACTTATAGATGTCCACTGCCTTCTTGAGTGCTTCCCCTCCCCTCACACATACACATAGCTAAAGCATGATGCTATTGAGATCTAAGTTGAGTTTCCATCTCTATATGAAAAGTTAGCTTGGCACAGAGTTGGGTAACGCTAAGTCTGACCAGCTGTGGTCTCAGCCACAAGAGAAATTAAATGAGTCAGTGTGGCTGGTTCAGTACCAATCAATCAAAGTCTCCTGGAAATCTCAAAAACACCCAACAATGAAGACACGCAAATAGTTGTCTTTATATATAAACTAATTTCAGCCCTAGTGTCTAACGTGTTGTGCACGCAGACAAAGAAAGGAAGGTATTTTTTTAGTTTGACACTTTGTACTTCATATTTCTATCAGTCCCATGAGGATTTTAAAAGAAAGTGGCCAAATCTGGTACATTCTACCAATATCATAAATTAGATTTGTTTGTTAGTGTGTCAACTTAAAATAAAACATTGGTTGCTGCTCTGTCTGGCTTTCTCTGCCATGCCCCGTATTTCCTTAAGTTTACAACTCAGTGGTTTTTAGTAAATGCACAAACTTATGTAACCATCACCACTATCTAATTCCAGAGAGCTCTGGGGGCATAGTGCCTAACGTACTTGACCGCTAACCAGAAGGCTAGCAGTTCAAACCCACTAACCACTCCTCAGAAGAAAGGTTGAGCAATTTACTTCCATAGTGATACTGCCTCAGAAACCCAAGGAGGGGTCGCTATGAGTTGGGTCCAACTGGACGACATGTAACAACAATTCATCGCCCTGCAAAGAAAGCATGTACCCATTAGAGGGGCAGTGTGGGTTCAGTGGTGGAATTCTAGCCTTCCATGTGGGGGAGCTGGGTTTGATTCTCAGTCAATGCACCTTAAGTGCAGGCACCACTCGTCTATCAGTGGATGCTTGCTTGTTGCTATGACACCAAACAGCTTGTAGTGGATCTTTCATAGTAAGAGGGACTTGGAAAAAGGCTTGGCAATCTTACTGCAAAAATCAGTCAATGAAAAAACCCTGTGGATCACAACAGTCCAATCTACAACCAATTGTGGAAATAGTACAGGACAGGGGAGCATTTATTTCCCTTGTGCATGGGGTCACCTTGAGTCACGGGCGACTGAAGGCAGCCAACAGTCTATTAGCAACCACCCCCATTCCACCTTCTCCCAGCACCTGGCAACCATGAATTTGCTTTCTGTCTCTATGGATTTGCCCATTCTGGACATTTTGTACAAACAGAACCATATGTGGACCATACAATATGTGGCCTCTCGTGTCTGGCTTCTCTCATAATGATTTTGAGGTTCATTCATAGTCATAGCATGTAGCGTGGAGTACTTAATTCCTTTTTACGCCCTGTAACTTTTTTTTTAAAGGAATGTTCTTGAAAAAAGGCAAATGGTAAGTATGCTTTTGTAGGAAATTTTGCTATGCTTGGAGGGAAAAATAAGACAAAATAGTCAGTGAAAATTTGGCTTGGCACTTGACCTATTAATACAAATAAAAAAAATTAACATCCAATAATTAAGAACCGATGAAGATGAAAAGCTAACAGACCATAAAAACTACCATTTGAATACAGAGATTGCTCTTCCTAATGTCAATGCGAAGTAAGGTAAGTGTTCATTAGCATGTTCTGATTTTGACTTAATTCTCTACCATCCCACACACTTTTTGCACTCCTGAGTTGGCACATTCTTGGGTCAGACAGAAAGAGTCAAGCAAGAAGGAGCACGAGGCTGCGCTGAATTTAGAAGTCAGAGGTGTTCTCATCAGCCACATGAGATGGACAGGAGATTCCTTCCAGTAGGCGAGAGCGCAGAGTGCAGACAACAGATGGGAGCAAGGTCCTCATAGCTGTCAAGTTCCAGCATCTTTGCGCTGAAGAAGGGGAGGTGCCAAAATGATTGATGTTTGAGGCAGTATAAAAGCACAGAATTTCTCCCCAACTGCTTGTCACACTGACCTGCACCATCTCTCGACGGCTCGTGGGGTTTCTGTCAACTAGTACTGAAGGCAAGAAAACTCGTTGGAAAATAACATTTTACTGTGGTCATGCCAGAACCCACTAAGAAAGAGGGTAAGACTCATCCCTAATCCTTCTTGTACTTTTCATCAGAGTGTGCTTATTTTGGTATTTCTTTCTTAAAACAACTATCCTATTATATATATATATACATATATATATATATAACAGAACATAAGATAATAGAATCACTGTGGTTTAAGGAAAGGATCCTTTAGAATAAACAAAAGAGACCAGGAAGACAGCCAGAATTTAACCATTTGAAAATTATCTGAGAAGTAAAGTTTATAAAGGAATCTTGGCTAAAATGATCAAATTATGATTTTCTCATTCAATTGCAAGGGATCCTTAAAGTGTGCTTTGAAGATGTGACGAACAGATTGCACCTTCAAGCATATTTTCCTAAGCTCAACCATGAATTTTTCACCGTGCATTTGCAATGCTGGGTGGGGAAATTAGAATGCTTTCCTAAGTAGTTAATGGATTTTATCAAGATTTCCAAAAAGAACTTGTGACAATGTTTCTAGATTTGTTATATTTTTTCACATGCATATATTTGGTGCTTTGATCAGATTTTTGGAACTTCTCTATATATGGCATTACTGATTTCTTGCATGGAAAGAAAATAAAATTCCTGGGTAAAAGAGAATACCTCTGAATATCACTGATGGATTGTGCTCTTTCACTAGTTTTATGTAGATAATTTCATAATGTGTAGACTTTTAAAAGTTATTAAACTGAAAACATAAAAGTACTCTTCAGTCAAAGAAATATTTCCTCCAAAAACAAGGTTTCTTGTTTCTGTAGGAAGATTTGACCAGTGTTTGAAAACTACTAATTAATAATCTTATTAATCAATACTACTAATAAGGGAGCTCTGGCAGCATAGTGCCTAAGGCACTTGACTGCTAACCAGAAGGTTGGTGGTTCAAACCCACCAGCCACTCCTGTGAAGGAAGGTTGGGCAAACTACTTTCATAGTGATACCACCTTGGAAACCCTAAAAGGGGTTGCTATGAGTTGGGTCCAACTCGACAGCACATAACAACAACACAATTAATAAGTTAGAATTTGGCAGTGCTAAATTTACTAATCAGAAAATCAGATTAATGGCATAAGTACATTATTTGATGTTTAATGGCAGTATCTTAAAACAATGTCATTTCATTCTTCTTAGCCTTTAGGGCAGTGTGTTGAGTTTGTTCATTAATGCTCACTGAATATTTTTATTTCTTCAAAAATAAGCAAAAAATGTTTTAAAAAAAATTAGCAGGAAGCATAAAAGTAGCATTAAGTTTTCAGCTTTGTTTTTAATTCTTAAAATATGCCTTTTAACCACTGTTTTTAAGGTACCCTGAAAAAGTACTACACATTGAACCCAGAATTTAAATACTAACCAAATTATCAAAAGTTTCTTAATATATTTTCTTTATGCAATTAAGTAACCAGTGTTGACAGGCTGTGGTAGTCAGTTTACAGGTTGGCTTTACTTAGTGGCGGAGGGCATTGATGGATGAAGTCTTCTACCCAAAATAACCACACCAAATGCATGCATTAATACGGGAACTTAATCCTGACAAGCAGGCAGAGTCCAACTCCTGCTAAAGTGTCTTATTTGTAATGCAAATGATTTACATGTGTATTAAGTGTCCTTTTTGTTTGATCTGTCACTTGACTAGTCTCTTCAAAGCTTACTTAGGTGGAATACATTCTGTTTCCTGATGAGAGTAGAATATTGTTTCAATTACCCTGAATTTAAGGGATAAACTTGCATCTGTTATTTTAAAGCCCAATTAAAACTGCCAGCAAAGCTGAAAAATTAATAAATAAGGCAATGGGCTGTAGAACCTATAAAGCTAATTAAATTATACTGATTGTTAGATGTTATGAAGTTTTACTTTTTGTCTGAACACTCAATCTGATCCTTTCTACTTTTAGAAAGGGTGAAAGGTTAGAGCTAGAAAGAGGAAAAATCTCTCTTTTTCCCCCCCCTAATAAATTTACATGGATACCAAAGTCTCCACAATCCTTCTTCTTCTTCTTCTTTTTTTTTTTTTTTTTTTTGCTATAAAAGCACTGTTAATACAGTATTACAGGAATCCCAAGTGCAGTAATTTTATACCCATAGATTCTCTGATTAGTTTAAATTTGGATGATGGGTGAAAACAAAATTATGGATACATTTAAAATCCTTTGTGAAAGTACAGGAATTTTTTGTTTCCTTACCAACATAACTGATTCTTAAAAGAACTGCACCTTAAAGAGTTCTCTTGGTGAAATCATTGCATTTCAGAATTGTTTACATCAGAATCATAAAGAACATGGTCTTTCATGGATTATTATAGGCCTTGTACTTTCTCCTAATCATGATTGCATTTTCACTGGGGTTGGTTTCGTTCCATATAAGCATCCCTCTCAAAGACAGCCCCAAATAAAAAACATGGCACCAAACTAATTCTTCAGAACCTTGTCAAACTATCTGCAGAACCCTCCCCCAAACCACTTTCCCCTAGCCCTGGTAGCTCTTCTTACCTTTCTTCCTTAGCTGGGGAAATATGCCATTTGCATGAAAGACATGATCATTTTCTGTGAATCTTGATCTTCTGGTTTGGCCCTCCTTGGATCCTGGAGGACCTGGTAAGTCTTCAAAAGAGGCTGAGTTTTCAGCACCTGAAATTGCAAAGAATGTCTTGCCCAACTCCTTCCCAACATACAGTAGCCTACCAAACCAAAAACCAAACGCAGTGCTATGGAGTTGGATCCAACTCATAGCTACCCCTCCTTGGGTTTCTGAGGCGGTATCACTATGGAAGTAGATTGCCCAACCTTCCTTCCAAGCCTAGTTCTGGGAAATTCATGTTGGGTCTTGAGAGAGCTGATCCTTGTAAGGAGGAAGAAGAAGGACAGTTGCAACTTTGAGCCTCTAGGAGGAAGGCTAATGGAAGTAATTAGTCAACAGTCCTTATTTAGACCCTTGAAAGTATTCTGAGTGGTCTTGTGACCTCTTTTGGAGAAAGCATTGTTTTTAAGGAGCAGCCTCTTGCCATTGCCCTCCTCTCCACCTTCATCAGTTGTGCATTTAGCTATTAGAGAAATATATTATTTGTATTGTCAGTTCCAGATAAAAGGTCTATCTTATGTTTTGGATTCATGCAGAACCCGAGACGAGTAAAATTGCTATTTAATCAAATACTGAGAGAGGATATGGAAAGAAGCGTCAGATTTGTGGAGATCTCCAAAAACGAGACTTTCATTTATGCATCAGCTATTAATTGAGCATCTACTATGTGCTAGTTACTGGAGTTTCAAGGACTGCACAAGACATAGCCTCTGTATTAAAAACTGTCAGAAGTAACTGCTCCAGGGGCCTACTGTGTAGGGCTGGTCAAAATGTAATTTGAAATAACGATCTCTTCTCCTGTCGAAAAATAATTTTGTCAAATTTAAATAGAAAATTGCAATAGCCTTTCTTCTATGGTAGATTCCTAATAATGTATTAGGAATCAAGTAGGTACTACGAAGGGTTCTTAACCTCATAAAATATTTCTTTCCTCCAAATTTTATTTCTGCAGTATGTGGTGACTGAAACCATAAAGCCCAGTTCTTAAACTTATTTAGACAATTGTTAACTATCAGATTCTACAGAACCCAGAACATTTTTCTTCCAAAACCCTGAGCTGAGGCCTTGACATGACTTTATCATGTGTTGAGTGCTGGATTAGGCCTTGTTACATTTTATGTACTACACTGAGGGAAAAAAGCAAATGTTTCTCTATGGTGCCTGTGTACCCTTCAAGAGATTATGGAAGAGTCAGTGTATTTTTTTTTTTTTTTTTTCCAATCTTCCATTTACAATAAAATCTCTTCTTGACAACTCAAACTTGTGGTAAAATACAGGGCCAATTATGGCCATACATTTTAAGGGGCCATTCTGATAACTCCTCAGAAATCAAAGGCATGGTGTTCTTCAAGATTCATTTGCTTTATCAAAATGCAGCATCTATCTTGGTCTTTTTCAACAGAAACTTGTGGGAACATAGTAATGGAGAAAATTTTTTTCCGCATCCACAGAGGGTTTTCTCTTCCTATACCATAGAATTTTTATCACACTTTAAAGTTCTGCTAAGCCCCAAACCTATCTGAGTGGAGAGTGGGGTTCATCACCTCTTGTCTATTTCTACCCATTGCTCAAAGCTTGGTCATCATCGGAAACAGAGCTCCAGAGACGGGAAACCTCTCGCTCATATTCGCTCTTTGACCTTCAGTTTCCACCTGCATGAAATTAGATGGCCTATTTCAAACACCAAAATAAATTCACCTTTGGAAAAGTCTTTGTATATATACTATATTACTTTTACCTCAAATTGGGGGAAAAAAAGTAATAATTTATAGGGAGTTAGGAAGAAGAACTAGGGATGAGGGCAGAGGTTGTACTTTTATCAAGGGCAACTGTTTTTCGCTTAACTTCAAATGATTCATTTAGGTCCTGTTGAGAATCTGGATGGGGAATAAAGAAGTTGTATGCAAGAATGCCTTGGTATTTCCCCTTATAAAACATTGTGATGCTGAAATGCAGATTTATGATATACCCCCCCCCCAAAAAAAAAAAAAACCAAACTCACTGCCATCAGGTTGGATTCGACTCACAGCAACTCCTCCTTGGGTTTCTGAGGCAGTATCACTATGGAAGTAGATTGCCCCATCTCCTTCTGAGGAGTGGCTGGTGGGTTTGAACCTGCAGCCTTCTGGTTAGCAGTCAAATGCCTAGAGTTGGGCTATCTGTTGTAAGAAGGAATACTCTAGAGCAAAGGCACACTAAAGAGGCTTAATGCTTGGCAGAATCGTTCTTTTTCAGTCGCCTGCTTTTATGACTGTCCGTACTGCACCTGTTAGGAAGATAAATAAAGGACTGGCCAATTCTTTCCTCTCAAGTGTCCTAAATATATCACTTAAAAAAAAAACCTTTGGAAAAGCAGGTTGTATTCTTACTTCTCATCCAGTAAGCCCAAAGAAGCCTCCTTGTTCTCAGGCCTTTCAAAAAGCTATGCAGTCAG